CATTAATGCAATGACATATTGTCACTTTTTAAGACAAAACATGTACTTGAAATATAGTAAAATCCATAATATGCATTCACTATAATCATATAAAAATGAATGAACTACACACTGCTTCAATGAAAAGTAAATATCTTAAGTATTTTTAAAAATTGTTTATACAGTTAAGTATAAATAAATCTAAAACTAGGTAGGAAACTTTTAGAAGTAGAATTAAAACATTTATATCAACACCTTTAAATTCAGTATAAAGAAACAATACCCTTAAGCAAGATACTATCTGTATCATACGATTTGCATAAACATACTAAAACCAATAGACCATGAGAATATACAATAGAATCAAATTCCTCCCCATTTAGTTTTCATGTAAAATTAATTCTTTACTTCCCTTTCTTCCCTTCTCTTTTTGATACAGGGCCTTTCTATGTAGCCCAAACTACACTGGTCTGGAACTGTTTTTCTGCCTCTACCCCGCAAGTACTGGGATTAACAGGTATGCTCCAATGTCTGTTTTCTAATATGCATAACCAAGTGTTAAAGATAAGAAACTATTATAAACAAAATGATGACAAAGGGAAACCTGAAGACAAGATGCACCATTCACAGTCTCTTACTAGTTCCAGTAAGACAGCCATAGAAAAGAGGCTCAAAATTCCAGTCCTTGTACCAGTTGTGACTTGTAAGAAAAAAGTCTTGATAATACAATATAAAGGTATCAAATTTCTTGAAAATGGTCAATAGATTCTATGAAGGGCTCATCTAAATAAATACCAGCAGGCTTTTGAAAACTGAAGTCTAATAAAAACAATCAAGACAATCCATAGCAGTATAAACAAACTGCCACCTATGAGGCATAATATAATGAAGAGTAATTGTTAAACATGTTCTGATGGCTTAAAACAAGGAGAAAACAAGGAAAAACAATATTTGACAGAAAACAATGTGGCCGATAGAACATAAAATATTTACCATCTGAGTCAGTTGCAGTGGGATACAACTGTAACCCATGCCCTTGAGAGGTGGAGGCAGAAATACCAGGAGTTAGTTCATGGTCATCCTCAGTTACAAACTGAGTTCACGGCCATATGGGCTACATGAGACCCTGTCTCAACAGAACTAAGCAGAAATTATCATATAGTTCTTTAGACCCACAGAATTGGAAGGAAGACAGTATTTTTATTAATAAATATCATGATTTATTATAAAACTACAGTCTGACACTGGTATAAGGACAGACAGATAAATGATGGAGACAGTCCAGAAACAAATAAATAAATTTAGTCATATGATTTATGATGAAGAGCCTGCCAAGTGGTAAAGTGCTATAACCTTCCCAACAACTTAACTGAAAAGCTCTAAAGAAAACAAACTTGAACCCTTACCTCACATCACATATTAACAGCCACAACAACATAGAATGATTCATTCTATAAGTGGTGTTGATTTAAAAAGAAAAGGTTAATAAAAAATATTATGGCCTTAGAGTTTTAAAACTAGGATACAAAAAAGGCATTAATTACCTCAAGGAAAAGATTTACAAACTAGATCATCAAATTAAAATCAAAAAAACCTAAAAATTTACAGCCAATTTTGAAAGAGATGCACCTTAGCTCTGGAAATTGTTATTGAAATGGAATTGTAATGAAATGCTTCTTCTAATTATGTGGTTATTATATATAAAAAAATAAATTGTAGCCCCAGCTGTCCTGGAACTCACTATATAGACCAGGCTGGCCTCGAACTCACAGAGATCCACCTGCCTCTACCTCCCAGGTGCTGGGATTAAAGGCGTGCGCCACCACGCCCAGCTTAAATAAATATTTTTTTTTTAAATTAAAATCAAGAAAGAATCTCTTGCCAGGCATGGTAATGCACACCTATAATCTCAGCACTTGGAAGATGGTGGCAGGAAGATCAGAAGTTCAAGGCCAGTCTTGGTTACATAGCAAGTTCAAAACTAGTCTGGACTACATAAAGACCCTGTCTTCAAAACACTTGGAGGGGCAGGGAGGCCAGCTAAATGGCTTAGCAGGTAAAAGAACTTGCTGCCAGGTCTAACAACCTGAGTTCAATCCTCAGAATCCACATGAGGGAAGTACAGAACAGACCTCAGCAAGTTGTGCTCTAACCTCCACATGCACATGCACATCCACACAGACACAAATAAATGTAAAAAAAAAAAACCAAAACTAAACATACCCTAATGTGTATGTTATCATGCAGCTATCATTTGGATTCTTTCATAAATCTATAATAATCCTGAGATCTTAATTATTTTTACCTACATTTTAAAACATTCTGTGATTTCCTTATTTTAGATTTCATTCATCCTCACACATCAATTTTAACTATGCTTAAAATGATCAAAATTCACTGGGCATGGTGGTACACACCTCTAATCCCAGCACTTGGGAGGCAGAGGCAGGCAGATCTTTGTGAGTTCGAGGCCAGCCTGGTCTACATAGTGGGTTCCAGGACAGTTGGGGCTACAGGGAGACCCTGTCTCAAAAAGTAAAAAAAAAAAAAAAAAAAAAAAAAAAAAAAGATCAAAATTCAGTGCCAACAACAACAAAATGATAGATGTGTCTAAGAGGACGAAACAAAGGTAATTAAAGTCATCGCCACAGAATTGCCAAAAACACTATAGGTGCAACCTGCTTTTTCTAAAAAATTTTATTTATAATAATAAAGAAGAAAACCGACAGAAAAAGTTGTTTTAAAATGATCAGAATCAAAAGATTAAGTGTGAAGAGAAGAGCATTCCGAGCTAAAAATTGTGTCCAATTCATGATGTAAATGAACTTGCTATGAGTCCAAGGGTGACAATATTCTAGATGCATATTCTCAAACTCAAGAGAGAGGACATGTAGTAGTGCCATCCCTTAGGAAAGGTAGTCAAAGGCAAGAATTTAGACCATCTTGATTGCTGAAAGGGCATATGACAATTATTTTATCTTTTGTGATTTTTATGTATCAAAGTACTTGATGCAAAGTAAATTTACTCTCTTAAACTACTTACTAAAACTTCTAGCTGTTTTTCAGTATCTTTTTAAATTCTTCCATAAATCACTTTACAATTCATATTGAACTTAGATGGCCAATGACAATTTCTGCTCCAATGAGGAACAAAGTGAAAAGAGCTCTAGACTGAGAAATTTGCAACACATATAATAAAGAACTGAATCCTAGAAAATATAAAGAGCTTCTATAAATCAGTAAGAATAAAACAGATCATCCAACAGAAAGATAAAAGACTTGCATCAGCATTCCATATAAGAGGAAATTTAACCTAGTAACAATCAAATGGAAGGGAGTATAACTTCACTAGTCATGAGGGAAATGCAAAATAAAACTATCATCACAACAGCACTAGACTCCCACCAAGACTGCTGAACTTTAATGTTTAATATTAAGTATTAAAAGGATACCAAAAAAAAAAAAAACAACCCACAAATCAAAACAAACCAACAGACTAAAACAACACTGGTGAAAGTATACACTGAAACAATCTCTTGAAAAACTGTTTAACAATATCAATACAGAACATTCACAGACCAGATCCTATGATCAAATAATTCCTTTAAGTAGATTGTAGTACATCCAAACAAAGGAAAATTGTACAGAAATGAGAATTTGAAACAAACTACTACCACACACATGAATCTGACAGTAATACAGAGGAAAATGACAAACTCAAAAAGTACATACAGTGCGATCATAAGCCACACATACAAATACTTAAACAAAAGCATACACACACAACACATACCACACACACACACACACACACACACACACACACACACACACAAAGATATATACGGCACCAAAAGATGTCTTCCAAGCCAGTGAGACTGCTCAATGGGTAAGGGCACTACTGCCAGGCCTAATGACCAGTTTCATCACCAGGAACCCACAGGATGAAAGGAGAGAATCAACACTCACAAGTTGTCCCCTGATCTCCACATGTACACTGTGGAATGCACTCATGCACACATATCAAATAAATAAATTAACTTAATTAATGCAATTTAAAAACATGATGCAGTATTTTTCATCACAACTAAAAAATATCAATACCATCAATATTAGAACAAATAAACAGATTATGGTATATTCACACAATGGAATATTTGCCAGAAATAAAACTGCTACACAATCTCACAATACAATATCAAGTAAAAATCACCACACTAAAAAAAGTAGGATTCCATTAATATAAAGCTCAAAAATAGGTATCTGTTGTAGAAAATGTCAGTATTGTGGTTATCTTTGAGTTGGTGGAAGATGACCAAGAAGGACTTCTTAAATACTTGTAATTTTTATTTATTGATCTGAGTAGTGATTGCATGAGTGTGCCTTTGTAAAAATTCACAAAGTCAAACACTTATAATCTGGTACTTTTCTGTATGCTAACCTTCAATAAAGTTTCATTATTGAAAAGTACAAAGTTCTAAGAAACAAACAGCCACTGACATGACAACTTATTGGAGCAAAGGCACTTTTCTGGAACCAAAGGCTGTACCAATACACGCCTGTTCACTGTCAAAGTCACTGCCCTTGTTCTCAACAGTGCAGTATGCTGTGTTGCAGCTTTGACTTAACTTCTGGGAAATCTTCAGTTTTTGAAAGCTGCCTAAATGTGCACTTTCCAAAACTTCAAAGCATTTTACACAACAGTGTTTCTGGTAAATCAATTTAGTTCTGTTCTCAGTTCTTGTCTTTATCCCCAGTTTTAGCTTAAAAAATTCGCCAGGTGTGGTGGCGCACGCCTTTAATCCCAGCACTCTGGAGGCAAAGGCAGGCAGATCTCTGTGAGTTCAAGGCCAGCCTGGTCTACATACTGAGTTCCAGGACAGGTGGGGCTATAGGGAGACCCTGTCTCAAAAAGACCCAAAAAACAAAAAATTTCAAGTGTGGTTTACAACATCACTTGCATGTTTATAACAAAATATGAATTAAATAAAGAAGTTCAGTTTTTTGTTTTGCTTTCTTTTGCAAATATAGAACTCTTCACAGATTTACCTGCCATCCTTCCCCAGCGGCCATGCTAACCTTCTCCATATGGTTCCAATTTTGGTACATGTGCTGCCGAAGCATGTAACTACTCTGAGCTACATACATAATGAGTTCCAGGTCAGCCTGAGCTATATAGCAAGAACCATTTTCTGAAAACCAAATGAGGGGCTGGAGAGAGGGCTCAGCAGTTCAGAGCACTGACTGCTCTTGCAGAGGACTCAGGTTCAGTTCCCAGCATCCACAAAGCAGCGAAACTGTCCATAATTCCAGTTCCAGGGAATCTGACACCTTCTCTTGGTCTCCATGGCACTGCACGCACACAGTGCACTTAAGTACATTCAGGCAAAACACTCACACAAATAAAATAAAAAATCTAAAAAAAAAGAAATAAAACAAATCAAAAAAACAAGTTGCATTTGATAATACTGCACATACGTAAAGTAACACAAGCAGCATTCACTAGTTGGAATTCCAACTAGATGAGATGCAAACAAAAGTTAAGGTCTTAGAAAAACAAAACAACTACATATGTTCAGGATGAGACAGACCTAAATTAATAAAAGTTAATGTGAAGACCTGAAAAGCCAAACTGATGTTTAGCTCAAAGCACTGAGCGCCATTCAAAACAAAACAAAACCAAAACACAGTAAAATAAACTTATTTAATCTCTGTGAAAAGAGGGCTCTGTGGTTAAAAACAGTTGTTGCTCTTACAAGAGGACTAGAGATTGTTTCCCAGCACCCACATCAGGTGGCTAATCACCTGTAACTGTAGTTCCAAGGGCTCCAATGCTGCCTTCTGACCTCTGTGGGAACCACATGCACATGTGCACATTAACATGCAGACACACACACATACACACAAATGAAAATAAATCTTTAAAAGTATAGCAGGAGGAAGCTAGAACCAATGACAATGTGGAAAGAATTTGGATTTATATGGCTAGCAGAGCAGGTAAAAATGAAGGTGGTGAGTGATAGTTTTTAAATAACTGTAGTAACACTGTACAAAAGGAACATGATAAGGGCTACAGAAATGGCTCAGCGATTAAGAGCACTGGCTGCTCTTGCAGAGGACGGGTTCCATTCCCAGCACGTACATGTCAGCTAATAACCTGCCTTACCTCCAGTTCCAACTCCACTCCTTAACACCCTCTTCTGACCTCCAAGGGCACTGCATGGCATGGGTGTACTTACATATATCCAGGCAATATACTCATACACATAAAATAAAAATATTTTTTAAAAGGGATAGGATAATTCATCATGTGTTACTCCATTGAGTTGGAGTAGAATCAACAGGTATAAGTTACAGAAACACATTTAATGCACAAAATAAACTTTCCATAAAACTCTGTTTTATAGGCCAGTGTTTGCTATCACAGTGGTAATATTCAAGTACAGTCCATCAGCTTCTTGCCATAGAAAGCACAATGAACACAAAAGCAGACCAGAAAGCTATAGATTCCAATCTCATCTCAGATTAACTGTCTGAAGCAATTTTTTTATTTTAATATTTGTTTACATTTTATTATGTATTTATGTGTATGTATGTGGATACACATATGCCACAGCATGATTGTGGAGGTCAGAGGACAACCTGAGGGAGTCAGTTCTTTTTGCTATGGTGCAGACTCTGAAGAAGAAACTCAGGTCATCAGGCTTGGTGGTGAGTACTTTTACTACTTTACCACCTGCTGGCCCTGGCAATTTATTTATAACCACCCCAAATCTCAATATTCTTTATCTATTTACATCATAAAAATCACTGAGAGGTGATTTACACGATAAATAAGGTAATGTATTCAATACCCAAGCATGGCAAACTAAAATGCAACACAAACATGAACTGCCAGAGTGACTACAACAGATAATTTCTAAAATTCTTTCAGCACTGAGATTATTAGTAACTGTACCTTTGAGGTAAGAAAAAACTTAAAATAGGTCATAAATTTACAAACCAAATATTTGATAGGCAAAGAGACAAAACATTAATATGATAAAAACCAGGGGAGCCAGAAACATGTATTATGAAGTGGTAAGAATGTTACTTGTTACTTCTATGGTAACAAGTTGGTAACAGGCAATGTTCAACCAGAAGAAAGACAGGAATTCACATTCCAAATAAATGGAAACTACTGCTTTGGGAAGTGGCTTGATACTATTTTCCCAGTCATGTGATCTTGACTGAGCATATTACCTATCCTCTCAGTTCCATTATGTTAAGGGAAACTGTGAAATAACTGGTTCACAGATTTTTCAGAAGACAATAACACAGGATGGGTGTGCACTCAGGAGGCAGAGGCAGACAGATCTCTAAGAGTTCAAGGCCAGCCTGGTCTTCATAGTGAGTTCCAGGCCACCTGGGGCTACAGGGAGACCCTGTCTCAAAAAGACCAAAGAAAGAAGACAATAATGCATGTAAAACTCTCTAACATGGCTTTATGGTACACAGAGGAATTCTACTTAACTTTCTCTTAGCTCAATTCTGGATGGAGTTGTATGTCATGGTAGTTTCAGGATTTTAACTTAGGGAACAAATAAGAGATACATTTCTATATTCTTTTCAGACATGTAGTCTAGGCTGGCCTCAATCTTACTATATAGCCAAAGATAAGCTTGAACTTCTGATCCTCCTGGCTCCACCTCTCAAATGCTGGGATTATAAGCATCTACCATCACACTCAGTTAATGCAGTGCTGGGAATCAAACTCAGGGCTTTGTACAGTACAAACACTCTACCAACTGAGCTTTATACACAGCCCATTTGCTTTTAAATGTTAAAGGAAGGCCTGGCATGGTGGTGCTCGCTTTTAATCTCAGCACTTGGGAGACAAAGGCAGGCAGAACTCTGTGAGATTGAGGCCAGCCTGGTCTACATAGCCAGTATCAGGTCAGCTAGGGCTACAGAGAGACCCTATCTCAAAAAACAAAACAAAAAACAGCAATTTTTTTAAAAATTACAGATTTAAATAAAGTGATGACATCAATCAATAATGAAATGGAAAATTAAGTAATATACAGATAGTACCAAAAAGCAGGTTATAAGATAATTCAGTATAATCCTACATTTATGACATTTGAAATTTCCCAATAATGAAATTAAATTACTAACATTTTTTTCTATGCAATCTGCATTTTGTATAAGGAGTATACATTTCAAATATAATTTCTGATGGAGGGGGCTGATAAAAAAATTTTTTTCCAGGGGAGAGGTGGCTCAAGTGGTTAAGAGCATTCTTCCAGAGGATCCAGATTCAGCTCCTAGCACCCACATGTGGGTTAACAACTGTTTGTAACTCCAGTTCCAGGCAGCTCTATGGGATCCAATTGCATGTATGTGGTGTTCATATATATATATGAAAAACACACACATAAAATTTTTTTTTAATATTTTATTTATTTTTATTTTATGTGTATGAGTGTATTGCCTGCATGTGAGCACGCCCATGTCATGCAATGCCGCGGATGTCAGAAGAGGGCTTCCGATTCCCCTGGAACTGGAGTTAAAGACGGTTCATAGCTACCATGTGGGTGCTGGGAATCGAACCCGGGTCCCCTGCAAGAGCAGTCAGTGCTCTTAACCGCTGAGCCATCTCTCCAGCCCCGGAAATACATATATATTTTTAAAGGACCAACTAGAGGAAGCAGTAGCCCATACACTCTGGAGCTACAACACAGGGAAGGCCTGGCCTCAGATGACAATTTGCGGTAGTCAGTTCTCGCCTTCTTTTATGTTGGTCCTAGGGATGGAACCCAGGTCATCAGCTCAGAGGGAGGTGCTTTACCCAGTGAGCCATCTTAGCAGCTCCTCTTCAGCCTCTTGAGTGTTAAGATTATAGGCATACACCACCAGGCCCTGATGAATTTAATGCTTTTTAAGAAAAAATAAAAACAAAAATCAGCAACCACTATTTTTTTTCTCAGTACATGATGTGGTTTAGAGAAAAGAAAGACATCTCCCTAACTAAGGAAAATATAAAAGATGCAAGGCTCCATGGAGGTAGGGATTTTGACACTTCTGTTATAGTCACTGTTCTAAGTACAAACAGGAACTTAGTATGTGCTGAACAAAATGATTTTTTGAAAAGGTCGTATTTACCCTTATACTACTCTAACAAATGGTATTTGCCCACTCAATCATTTGTCAAATAAATTAAAAGCAAGAAAGTTAAGTTTAAAATATTACTTTCAGGGCTGGAGAGATGGCTCAGTGGTTAAGAACACTGAGAGCTCTTGCAGAGGACCCGGGCTCGATTCCCAGCACCCACATGGTGGCTAATAACCATTCATAAATCCAGTTCCAGGGGATCTGATGCCTTCTGACTCCGCAGGCATTGCACGACACAGGTGCACTTACACACATGCAGACAATACACTCATACACATAAAAATAAAAATAATAAAATTAAAAAAAATAAAGTATTACTTTCTCCCTCTCCCCTTCATTTTTTGGTGTTTTGTTCTTTAATTAATTCATTTATTTTTATTTTATGTATGTTTTGTCTATATCTCTGTAAGTGCAGTAAGTGCACGCAATGCCCACAGAAGTAAAAAAATAGCATCAGACCCATTGGAACTGGAGTTACAGATGGTTCTAAGCTGCCACATGGGTGCTGGGAAATGAACCCAGGTTCTCTGTAAGAGCTGCCAGCATTCTTAACCACTGAGCCATCTCTCCACCCCCTTTTTTGGTTTTAGTTTTGAGACAATGTCTCCCAGGAGCCCTAGCTGGCCTGAAACTCGCTATGCGGACCAGGCTGGCCTCAATCTCACAAGAGTTCTTAGCCTCTGCCTCCTGAGTGCTGGGATTAAAGACATCATCATGTCCAATTTTTTTTATTTTTATTTTTGAGACAGTATGTCCTGTAGCCCAGGCTAGGTTCAACTCAATATGTAGTTCATATTAATCATGAACTCCTAATTCTTCTGCCTCTACTTCTCAAGTGCTATGATTACAGGTGTATGCCACTGTACTTGGTTTAAAATATTATTTCTGAGCTGAAAAGTCAATAAGAAGCGATAACCATTTCTCTAAATACTATATTCATTCAGGACTATAAGTATCTACAAATAGTATAA